ACCAATTATCCAGCAACTTTAATCAACATAATGTTTTCACGCATCCACTCCATGAGCCAGCCTAACCAATCATAAACCCAGATCCCACCCCGAAGTAACACTCCACCACCAGATGTTCCACCACACGATGTACCAACATCCACTACAGCAGTCGAATCTTCAATATACACCCAAAACTTGTTACCAGGAGCCAAAACCATCACCAATGCGCTCCAAAACGAGCCACCGATGACTGACCAAGAACATGAAACTCCACCATCAGCATCACTGATCATCATTTACCGATCCATCCCATTTATCCCTCAACTGACGACCACTTTAGCTCACTCCCTAAAATGAGATTACCCACAGCTTATCAAACAACCAACAACGAAAAGCATCTTGAAACCGGTAATGGACCCAACAAAGATTCAAAGTCATCTACAGTATACCATGCAATTTCTGTGAGATGACTTACATTGGTATGACGAAAAACGAACGAACAACTAGATTAAGTGGACATCAAACACACATTATCAAACTATATAAGCTTATTCGTCTTCTTCTTCACATTTCAAGCTTATTGCTTATCGCATATTAGCTTATTGCGTGCTCTCAACTTAGTATTCTAGATGCACTTCCACAATTATCAATTGAGAGCTTTCGATGTCTGTACCATTTTGGCATTAGTATAATTTTGTGGCAAGTACAATCATATTATATGCCCAGGAAAGTCGAGAAATTTTCCAAACCGAAAAACCTAGACCAGACCGGGAATTGAACTCAGTCACCTTCAGCATGGTCTTGCTTTGTAAATAGATGCGCCTTTACCGACTGAGCAAAGGGAGCTCTAGATAACAAGATAAGCTACGACAAACCAATACCACACGATCAGACGAAGAATTGAGTAGACTCATGGAAATCACAGCGTTAATGGACCTTCCTAAGTAACAATTCAAGCTGAACGGCAGGAGCAGAAGCTGATTAGGCTGAATATATACAGTAGACTGATGCAAATTTTGACATTTTCGCTCCACAGTGCTCAAACGGTTCCAAATCGGGTCCTGATAAGTCTCCCAATATTTGAACTCCTTTGATAAGAAACTGACTTGGCACAAACCATTTTAAATTTATATGGAAATTACTATAGGAAATCCAAACTTTTTGTTCATTGTCTTCTTACCTTTTTCCATATTGCACTGTTCAAAAATTCAAAAGTTATACTTATGGAAAATTTTCTCAGCTACAACTTTGCAGAATATAGTTGTTGAGCCAAACGTCGAATAAAATAGTTATTAATTGTTTAAGAGATTGATAATCTTATGGCATGATCAAGCAGCTGTTTTGTTAGCAACACTGTATCTTGTAGTGTGACATAGTAGCCATGATTTTTGTGCTGTATTCTAAGCGCCAGAAACACCAATGCACAGTGGTTCCTGGCTGGCCAAAACCTCAAACATTAAAGTTGATATTTTTTTAATTCAATATTTTTTTATCATTTTTACATGCTAAGAGTATCTTAAATTGAATGATTTGTGCAGTTCTGTTGATAACATATTTTTTTTTATGGTTGTTATAGTGTAGCGATATCACAAATTTTTGAAAAAAATCGTAATGTTTCTTGTTACTGTTTTGCTCAAATATAGCAAAAAATAATGTGTTTATCAACTTGGTTGCTTCAGAAGAAATGTTCTTCGGCTTATTTCACATCAAATGGATGGAAAAAAGAGTGTCTGTGCTGTTTTAAGTGACAGTTTCTAATAAAAAAAATTGCAAAAATATACTTTTTTCACATTTAGACTAAGCAAAACATATGACGGACACATCCGCCCACTATCTTTTAGTAATCAAAAGATAGCTAGAAAAATTAGCTTTCAGATAGGCTTTTATGTGTTTTGCGATTTTTTGCGAAAAGTGTTGAAATTAGGAATAACAAGTTAAGTTGAGTTATATTTGTTTAACAAGCTGGTTAGGGTGGCCCCTAGACAATCGGCATTCTTTAAATATATTTTTATACGCTCATTTCTCGTTATGCTAGACACTTCAAGAACTTTTTATGACGCATATTTTTGTTAAGTTGATATCTGTTTTATTTGAAAAGTTATGGCTAGTTTTTGCTGAAAAATATTACTTCTTTTAAATTAAATTAAATGCTTTAAACAGAAAAAGCTCTTGCTGTTTATTTTTACCAAAAATGAAGAAAAAACGATGTTTCCAATAAAGAGATGAACTAGCCATATAGCTAAAAATCTCTATAATAAAGAAGAAAAAAAGATGTTTCCAATGAAATTAAATGTTTGGAAATTGGTTTGCTCCATTTTGAGATATTGCCAATTGAAAAGAGCCATTTTTTCGAAGAAAATAGCCTTTAACTTTCTAATCAAAAAAGTTTCTTGAGCAAAAATATACGGCTTCAAAAGTTCTAAATGTAATCAGAACAATGTTTTAACGAAAAATTAACGCATGAAAAGATATTCAAAGAAAACCGATTTTAGTAGCCACCCTAACCTGTTTGTTTAAAAAAATCATAACTCATGAACCATAAGAGATAAAATGCAATGTTGCCTGCTGATCAGTTGATTGAGCATAATCATAAGACATTAATGGCTTGAATTATTGATAACTTTTGATGCTTAAATTATATTGAAAAGTGGTTTTTTGACAAAGTTGTAGCTGAGAAAATTTGCTGCGAGCTCAAGTATTATTTTTAAAAGCAGAGCGATATGGAAAATTTTTAGATGGATATGAACAAAACATTTGGTTTTCCCAACGGCGCCGGTGGTGTAGTGGTAAGCGTGATTACCTCTCACCCCAGCAGGCCTGGGTTCAATCCCAGTCGGCGCTGCTGGGATGTTCTGAGGCATAACATCTCTGATCACGCCTTCCTTCGGATGGGAAGTAAAGCCGTTGGTCCCCGGTTCATGAGTTGATGGGTCGATAGGTAGAGTCCAGGTGTGGGAGCTGCCTCCCTGGCGTCGGTAGCACTGGTGCTCAGCACGGAAAACAAGATCGACGGAAAAAACAAACCAAAGGAAAAAAAAAAATTTGGTTTTCCCATAGTAATTTCCATATAAACTTCAAATGGTTTGTGCCAAGTCAGTTTCTTATCGAATGAGTTCAAATTTTGGGAGGCTAGTCAGAACCCGATTTTGAACCGTATGAGCACTGTGGAGCGAAAATGTCAAAATTTGCATCAGTCTAATATACAGGGTGATTCAGAATAACTGAATAGAATAAGTATCTTATACTCATAATCGGCTCGAGCATTAGAAAAAGTATTTGATGAGGTTTGCACATTGTAGACTTAACATAGTTGTGTACTTGTCAAGGATAAGCAATTAAGGTAGTGAAATTAAATGTAATTACTAATCCTTCTCTTTATACAGGTATTCCACTTTAGCCGCTAGCATTCAGCAGGCTCTTAATCGGTTTTATTAAAATCACGGTCAATGATCTCAATTACTAGATCTGAGCCTTCATTATGGAAGTTGAAACTAAGCGTTTTTCGACTTCACCATTCGATAAACTACTGACTACAGGATTGCTAAGTCATAAATTCAATTTGTTCTATCCTTAAGTAAGCTCATCTCATCTGCAACTCCAGTTGAACCATTTATAATAGCACTGATATGCTGCCGTCCATTGATGCTAGAACAGGGTCATAATTCATCCAGACGTGCGAACGTCCGTACGATCATGATCGTGGTAGCAATCGTAGCTTCATAACAAGCCAAATTGAGCATGTAAACGATCAATCAAATGCGCGTGCATTCTCAGAAACGAAAAAAAAAACAATTAATTACCCTGAGCTAAACCAGCTCGATCCACTGACTGTAATGCCGGTTACGAATGGTGGATCAAAACAGAAAAAGGAGAATAAACACGCTATTCACATTCCTACGTCACGCGCACGCTTCCATCCGCGGACCATATAACAGTCTTGAAAAGCAAGCGCCACTTGGTCTCACTAAGCCAACACAGTAGACTCTCGAGATTCCGATCCACACGCTCTAATAACTGCCAAGTGGGAGAGCTTTGTGATTAGCGAGAATCGTTAGAGAGCTTTTGCGAAGGAATGGCAATGCTTTTCGGTAAGCTTTGCTGATGAATGTGCGCCGCAGTCGAGCGGTTGAGAACGGTGCGTCAGATGTTGGATTATTGTACAAAATTTGAATAAATGTTTCTTGTAGGTTTTGAGCACTCGACAAACTGTTGTTTTTGGCATCTTCCTCACTTTAGCCAGCTTGAAACCGGACCACTCTGGATTTTCCAGGTATTTGTGCACAATATTTTTCCTTGTTTCGAGTTCCATTTGACGTTATTTCTGAACGCGATCGACTACTTTGATCAAACTTGCACCAGTTGTCAAACCACTGTCAAGGATTTTCGATTCCCATCACTAGAGACGTGCTAGTGGCGTGCGGGGGGCGTTCCAATTTACTTTTAGTCAGCCTTTATATTTAGCGCCAAATGGAAAAAAATGCGTTTTTACGACAACAGCACTGGCGTTTGTTCAGCCGTAAGAACCTGCTCAGACTGAAGCTGACAGACTAAGAAATCATTGGAATACTTTCAGCACAGGGTTTTGGTGAGAAAATGCTGTGAAACTACCTTATAGATTTTGGTCGCCGAAAACAGTCAATGGGTGTCAAAGCTGACAGTTACCCTACATACCGTGATCTTTGCGGAAACGCCGCGTGGTATACTCCATTCAAAACATCAATCAACTGCTTCTACAGTATATTGCAACTCTTAATCCTTACTAAGTACATTTGTTCGACGATTACTCAGTAATGTATAAATCATCGCACGTCCAACGAGCATGCTCATTTAGACCGACAACTGTCGGCTTAGCGCTTAAAGTTTTGTTTCTAATATGCTGCCAACAATTTACCGGCAAATCGGCGTCTTCTACCTAGTCTGCAGTAATAGCCTCTGTAAACCGTGCGCTCTCTCACCTATACGCCTGATGATCGCCAAATCGTGAGTTCTATCCATTTGCTCACGCCGCTCGTCAGCACCTCACCTCCGTTCAGGTGCAAATATAGTACCCGCTTAGATGCGATGTTTTCCTCAGTCTCACGGTGGCTGTGAACGCGCGCAGTGCAGAATCGACACGATACCTTTGATCGGTCGTATCCATCGGAACGGACGAATAAACCCTAAGCCAAAGTGTAACTGTTACCGGTACCATAAACATTAGTTAACCCATGTGATTGTGATCGATTGGATGGTTCGCGATCGTAATCGAATTTAATTACGGATCTGATTAGCTGGTTAATGGCCTTCCGCTGCTTGAGGGTGGGCTTGTGAAGGTTAATCCAATTTATGATCGAGTTCGAGAACAAAAACGAAAAGAGCAATTGTCTTGGTGATGATGAGAACTGATTGTGGACCGCGATAGGAAGTGCTAATTTGTTTGGAACACGTGGTGAAAGTGATTGTAGTGGAACATTGCTGTTACAGTGAGTGCCATTCACAACAATACGGAATTGTACCTGAAAGTGGTGCGGTGATTGGTGACGCAAATGTAAGTCATTATTTGTTCTAGAATGAATGGAATTGTCAGACGACAATTAAGTATTCGGTTTTTGAGTGATGTTTAAGTGATTGATAGAATGCAGCGAACAATTGGTCGCGTTTGTATGAAGCTTTCCAACTTTTATGGACGGTTTGTTATTGAACTTTACGACTACGGCCGGAAGAATATGAGTGGAAATATACAGCTTCTTAGAGAAACACTGTCGTAAACTTGTTTCCAGGTCATATGCATGCACAACGGCAATTAAGCGATCATAAAACAATTGCAGGTAGATGGGTTCGAATGTGCGAAGGGACTCAACCCGATATAGCTACGTGACAAAGGTACCGTGCCGATCAATGTGAAATATGATTAGCCGATTTTTATGAGTTGATTGAAATCAATATTAAGAAAATTTTAGAGTAAATTATAATTTCAGCGCCTTTTCATCAATGTGACATGCCCCAGAGCATTAATTTCAGGTGCCTGATACAGCGCAAAGATGGAATAAACACCACTTTCATGCTTACACTTACTAGCCGTGAAACTTGCACAGCAGAGCTGTCCCATTAACCCTGTATCTTGGAGTCAATATGACCCCAGGCAATTTTTGCAATCTTGATTATTCATCAAACCGATTTATTCTGTGACATTTTTGCATGCTGAAGTCTTCTTGATATGGCAGCCTCTTAGTTAAGACATATTTCCAATTTTGTTTCAATTCAATTGATTAATTACATGAACATTCCAGAAGTTTCGAGCAATTATTGAAAATTCCGAGTATCTCAGGAATATTAAAAAAAATTAAAAGATCACGGTGCAACGCAAATATCAGGTTAGTTTATAAAGTTTAAAGATTCAAGGAAGTTTCGAAAACTTTTTAAAAATAACTGGAACTTCAGTATAGATCAAAAAACTTTAAAGTAGATCAATTGACTTCAGAAAAACTGCGTGAACTTTTGAATCGATCTGAAAAATTCAGTGATTTGCAGAGAAATTCAAATTTCTGAGGCAGTTCTGATAACTCCAGAGAAGTATCGACATTTTTTTTTAGAAAAGTCTAGACTTTAGGGGAAGTTTAAAGATCATGAAGTATTTAAAATTTTGTTTGGAATTCTTAGTCTTTAAAAAAAGTATTGACTACATTATCATCACCAACGTTTCAATCCAGGGGTTTGGATTATCGTTAAGGCTAGGTTTAATTTATTTGTAATTTATTTATTTGTCTGCATCAACAGGCTGTGTAAAGCCCCAATGATGATTTAAGTAACTTATATAGGTAAATCAAAAAATAAAAACTTAGAATAAAATACATAAATAAAACACACAATCATTCACGGTAAACTGTGCCAGAAAAGAACGATGAGAAGTATCTTCGTAGCAGCTGTCGAGGCATATGGAAATCGAAGATGCCCGAGACTCGATTGAACACGCGTTGCAGCCCACGTATTGCACCGTTCATGCCATAGTTTGTGCGCTGAAGTGGCAATCTCAGCATAACGTTGTTACGTAGCGCACGGGGTTGGACGTTAATGTTGACTTGCCCCAAGATTTCACTGCAATCAATTCTACCTTGTAAAGTGTCCGCAATGAACAGGGCCCTAGAGGTGTCTCTTCTAGTTCGGAGAGGCTCCAGATCAATCAGCTGGCAACGACTTTCATAGTTGGGCAGATGAAATGGGTCTCTCCAAGGCAGCTTCCGCAGAGTGAATCGAAGAAAACGGCGTTGAACGGACTCAACTCTCTCAGCACCATTGTTGTAGTTTGGACTCCAGACCACAGAACAATATTCCAGAATGGATCGCACCAAGGAACAGTACAGTGACTTCAAACAGTAGATATCGGAGAAATTCTTTGCTATCCTGAAGATAAATCCCAATGTCCTAGACGCCTTGTCGACAACGTACGAGATGTGCTGCTTGTACGTTAGTTGAGAATCTAGAATAACACCCAGATCTTTCACATGGTTCACACGGTCGATTACAGTGCCGATAAGTTTGTATTCAAATGTGATTGGTTCTTTCTTCCGAATAAAAGTGATCACTGAACACTTAGTGGGGTTAACCACCATTCGGTTCAAATTACACCAGCTGGAAAAGGCTTCGAACTGACGTTGAAGGAAGTGACAGTCATCAATCGAGTGGATTCGTAGGTAGATTTTAAGTTCGTCTGCATACGATAGTCATGGGCCTTCGATGACCAAGTTCACGTCATTGAAGTAGAGTAAGAAAATCAAAGGTCCCAGGTGACTTCCTTGAGGTATTCCTGACGTAGCTAGATAGATATTGGACCGGTTGTCACCAATGGCAACCATCAGTTGCCGATCAGTGAGATATGAACGAAACCATCGCAAGAGGTTGCCGCTGACCCCAAGTCTATGCAACTTGGAAATCGCGATGGCATGGTTTAGCTTATCGAAGGCAGCTGACAAGTCGGTGTATATGACGTCTGTTTGAGTCCTCTCTGCCATGCTTTTCGTAAGATACGATGTCAAACACAGCAGATTTGTGGAAGTAGAACGACCAGAAGTGAAGCCGTGTTGATCACCACTTAGATACTGCTTACAATGATAGAGTAGAGGCTCCATGATAACTAACTCGAATAACTTCGAAACTGCACTCAACGACGTAATCCACGATAATTGTCCACATCCCGTTTGCTGCTCTTTTTGTGGATAGGAAACATATGTGCGAATTTTCAACAAGATGGAAATGTACCACTCGAGATGGACAATCGAAAAAGGTGAAGCATGGGAATTGTTTAGAACAATATTCCGTACAACATGATATCCCCTACACAAGGTCACTTATTTAGGGAATTTAAACACCACACCAACTTCAAGATGCGCAACAAACTCATACAGATTTGACTGCGGAATATCACCGTGGACCTTTATCAATTATGTATATCTAGATGAACGCGTTATTGGGACGGTACTAATGGATATTTCTGGTCGCTATTGAAAATTTAGTCGATTGATGAATTTATGTATGGGTCCAAATAAGGGGCATTTAGGCCGACATTACATCCATTTCCCCCATATAGCCAATAGGATATGTCAAGTTTGTATGATGGGTTACAACGCTCTGCTCCCCAGCGCTCTTTTGGTATAACTAAATTTGAACTAATTTGGTTGCGATCTGGATTTACGGAAGAGTTTTGAAGTTTCCATGGGGCGGGTAATGACGCTATAACCATAAGCAAAGGCTAGGCCAAGAGCTAATGCTTATGTTCCAACTATCTGGTAAAAATGGAGCATCACTTAACCTTTCTATCCTAAACCAATCATATAATTACCAAAAACGGAACGTACGATGTCCACGTTTTATCCATGTATTGGATTCTGAAGCATCGTATTTAAGTTTTCAATTAAAACAGGCTGATGTTTTCTGAATTATCTTGCCCCTTAAATGCTGCACAGTAGGCCTGGCCGTCTCGGTATGTGTGGCACATCTTCAATGTGAAACTTTTTTATATAGGGTAGAAAACTACTTCGGCATAATCGCCAATTTTGGGCCTATCGAGCTGAAAATTTCAAATAAATCCATGATTTCAGAGTCAACAAGTCAATTATGCGTGTGGTACGATACTTTAGTTAATAAGCTTCCGAAAGAAGTCAATGAGTACGCGTGATATCAAGGTTTGCACCTATTATTCCCAAATACAAAAGAAGCGCTCCGACCGAATCAATTTTTATCTTCATTCGATAGGTCAAAGTGAATTCATTGGCGTTTCAATGGAGTTTCAATGTGTTAGGCCGAATCCATAGGCCAAGTTTGGCGTCAAGAATCAGTGTTAGACTTTTGACAATATCTCAACGATTGATTTCTCTTTATTAAATCTTACGGTATGTACGGAAAGGTAAATAAATTGCTAAACTGCACTAGATTAAAAAAGACTAAGTGTGGGTTGTGCTTTATAGGCCGGAGATGGGGTAGTAAACCCTTTATATCAAGCTGTACATTGCATTAGGTCCAAAGTAACATTGACAGATTCTCTTCGTTGACCTTTTCTTTGTATCCACACGGCCATGTAAAAAAATTCCCAGATATTTTCAGCCCACAGATTGATAAAAGAAGCTCTTATCTAGCATCTAATACGACAAACACAACAAGAAACGATGTTGTGCTCCTCCTCCTCCTTTTTCCTCCTTTTTTATTATAGTCACTTTAACACTCTTGGGTCATTCGTGACTTGTCCGGGGGTGAGATTTGAACTCGTGACTTTCGCGTGAGAGGTATGGATGCTAACCACTACGCCGAAGTCGCCCCCTAATGTTGTGCTCAAGTTTTTAACGAAAGAGAAAGTTGACGAAGATAATCGATCAATGTTTCTTAGGACCTAATGCAATGTTCAGCTTGATATAAAGCTCGATTCAAAGTAAATCTGGGCGCACGGTTTAATACACCGTCGTGCCCCTGGTGGTTGGAACAAAAAACGTTTGACAGGCATTTGTTGATGTTTCATTGACGAAGAAATTGGTGAAAAGTTTTTCTCGATTGATCAACGCATCCCGAAATTACGGATCATGGCACAAACATGTAGAGAACCCTTCGTGGTCTTCCTCAAAAATAGCAAAAGTGTTGAAATTCTCAAAGTCAACGGTGAGTCTTGTAATCAAACGTTACAAGGATACTCTGCGTGTGGATAGAGCACAGTGCATCTATCATAAAAGTGGCACTAGAGACAAAGAGCTGAGGAGAAAGGTGTTGAGGTACGTGAAAAACAACCCAGGTGTCTCCATACGTGATTTGGCAAAAAAATACGATTTCAACTTTTCCACCGTGCGTAACATCCTTTCAAGAGAAGGATATAAGTCTGTTTTGTGCCAGTAAACATCCGAATCGCTCCCTGAAACAAAATTTAGTGTCCAAAAAGCGAGCACGATTACTATACGAACGAGTTTTGACGAAATTTGATGGCTGTATTTTAATGGATGACGAAACATATGTCAAAATGGATTATAAACAAATCTCCGAACGAAAATTTTACCTGGCAACTGGTCGTGG